CCCAGGCGGGTCTCGACCCCGTGGGCTCAGGCAATCCACTCACCTCAGCCTCCCAAAGGCGCAGGATTACAGGCTGAACCGCCGAGCCCGGCTGATTTCTTTTTATGTTTTCTATTTCTTTTCTAATTACTTCAAGTAATGGAGAGGAATTCAAATGAGAGATGAAGATGAGGAGGATCCAAAGTCCAGGCTGTCAAACGGACTATTCACATAGACGCTAAAGCCACTGAGGACAATGTCAGGCGAGGTTGGTAGACGAGAGCAACAAGGAGGGAAACAGTCCTGTTTATTTGCCAAATCATGGATAAAATTTTTGCAAAGACTTTGTAAACTCCTTCATTCTCTTAAGCGTTTCTAATTATATCATGTGATGTGGTTCGTGCTCCTTTGCCAAAAGACTTGTGCATATTCAGTATATGTATTTTAATGTTTTTTATTTTTCAGCATTACATGATTATTTTTCAGGTTTAAAGGATTAAGATAAATGAAACAAACTACACTCAGAATCACTGTAGAGCAGAATATATAAATATACAGGATCTTTTATAGGACACAAAAATTATAATATTATCAAATAACAAAGAATAACATTCAGGAAAGGTAGGCAAATTAGACCATCTTGACAAAGAATGGTCCAGGACGTTCTTATTTAAAGTAGTACTTGCCATGAAATGATACTAGTGAGCCTCATTCTGATTATGTAGTTAGCATACATGTTCCTGTGCTAAGATGGACCAGGACAAATCCCCTAAACACCAGGACAAAATTTCTTCTCTATGCCTCCTTGCTTTCCAGCTTTCCTTTTCTGTGTTGGGCCAGGTATTTCAGAGTCAGCAGCCTCTGGTAGATTACCAAGCATCTCATCCTCATCAGTCTTCTGTCTTGTGTGCTTCTCTGTCCACTGCCTGGCATTTTTGAGGAAGACTGGCTTAGTATATTTAAATTCTGAGGATATGTCAGCCACGAGTGGGTCATCAGGGTTGGGTTCTGACATGAGCAGCTGAATAGAGGTCAACACAGTTGCAATGCTTAGGGATGGTCTCCAGGTACCTTTTGTTGGCAATTTGAGAACATCTAAACAAATCCTCCAGCTGAATCAATGTTTGGGTGATAAATTGGAGGGAGAAATCGAATCTGAGGGGGTTCAAATGGGTACTTCTCAGGAATGATAACTTCCAGCTTGAAAACACCTTCCTCATAAGGTGTGTTGTTTCCACCTAAGATTTGACCTCGCAGATCATCCATTTGGTCTTTAACTTGCCAACATATGATGCCTGAGGGTGGCTCTCTGGCTAACATGTGCAGCTCTGTCTTCAGACGGGAAGCTCTCTGCACAATTTCCAAGTAAACGGAGCCACACACAGTTCACTCCACACCGGAACTAGCTGGGATACACTGCGCGGACGCACCTCTTAACCCCGCAGCACACAGATCAACTCTCATGATTTTTAAAACTTGGAATCATGTTACAAAATCTTGCTATTTGACTGACCCAAATCCCATTCCCAGCCTCTTTCTAGAGTTAGCTATATGATACAGACCTGGCCAATGAGATGTGTACAGAAATATTCTATGGCATATTTGGGCAAAACCTTGCTTTCCTGAATCAGGCACCTCCTTCTCGGCCCTCAGTCTTTCCTGGTATATGGTAATGAGGGTTGGAGCTCTGGCAGCCATCTTGTGACCACGCATAAGGATTATAGTGACCTCACTATAGTGATTATAGTCCTGTTACAGTTGAGTCATAAAACTAGTATCAGTAGCACTTACTCTGGATGTCTTGATATATGAAGTGGGGGAATCTATCTAAGATGCTGTAGCAGACTTTTGCCTCCAAAATAGATTCTTAATATACATGGTGCATAGCAGAAGTAAGTTCAAAGATACAGGTCATAGTAATGAGTTGGCGTCTTCTGATAGCCAAAAGCCTGCCCCCCCACCAGTCCACCCTATATTGTTTAGCATCTTGACCTCCCCAAACCAAACAAGAATATAGATTTCAGGTCACCAACGCCCAAGATTAAAATAATAGGAATTTGCCATGTGCTGTGTCTCACGTCTATAATTCCAGCACTTTTAGGAGACCAGGGCAGGAGAATTGCTTGAGCCTAGGAGTTTGAGACCAGCCTAGCCCGCATAACGAGACCTTGTCTCTACAAAAAAAATATTTTAAATCTTGCTTGGCATGGCAGTACATGCCAGTAGTCTCAGTTACTTGGGAGGCTGAGGTGGAAGAATCCTTCTTTCTGTCTGAGTCCAGGAGGATGAGGCTGTGGAGAGCTGTGATTATGACACTGCACTCCAGTCTGGAGAAGAGAGTGAGATTCTGTCTCAAAAGAAAGATATAAAATAAAATTAAATTAAAATAAATTGATCATTTTCTCCCTGGTCTATTCCTGGATGGTGGCCTATATTTTGTGGATTATATATAATACAACCTACAGTGTTCAGCAATCCAATTTATCCCTAATGCTAATATTTAACACAGATTCACAAATAAGTTTATTGAAAAATGTCCCACTTAAAGTAAGAAATCTACCTCTAAAAGAATGTTAAAAAACAAACACCCAAATCTTTTCATTTTTTTCAGTGGTTCAGTGGGTGTCCCAAGACCAGACATCCTAAAGGTATTTGAGTTTATCTTAGAAAGACTGATAAGCAGCAATAAAATCAAAGGGTACAAAGCCAGGAAGCAGTCTCAAATTATCATCTGAATAATTGATATCAGGACATATTTTTAAAATTTAAAAACTACGGAGGAAAAGGATTAGAAATTGTAACAAAAGCAGGTGGCTAATAGAAATGGGAGAATTAAACTTTGTTAGAGATTTTCCTGGCTTACTCATACTTAGAACCACTAAATTAGTTTCTCAGGGCTTAATGCAACACAAACAGTTCATTTACTTTTCCCTAATTTTCCCCCTAAATTTTAATCCAAGCTCCAGACACATGGACACATATTCTTTTGTATGAATGTTTATGAATAATTTCCTCTTAAACATATTAAGCCATCACTGGATTTTGTTGTTGTTTCTCTCTTCCTGGAAATAGCTTCTCACCCTCTTTTTATATTATTATACCCAGCAAAACTATGTGGGTCTAATACATCTAGTCTTATGAAATAATCTGAAGTCTTGGCTGTGCCTTCTAATAAAAAAAAAAACAGCATTTGGTTTTGAATACAATTTTATTTAGCTTTGGACCATCTCAAAATATACAGGCATGTAACTGTCACTCAAAAACTCATTCCTTCACAATCTAGTCCAAGACCTTAGTTAATAAAGTAGTGAGTTCAATACAATTTCAGTACATTCTAACATATTTTAGAACAATATATTCAGACATTAATACTAATAAAATAGTGGCATTACAGTTTTTTTGCATTGGCAGAAAGTCTCTCATTCTAAAGACTGGTTTCTAAACTCCTGTTTCATCAAGACTTGAAACATAGTTTCCTTAGTTTATTATTCTTAAGGAAATACCTTTACCAACCAGAAAAAATTAGAAAAAGTCTTCTTTTTTAAGAAGGCAGATATTCTCTCAGAACATGGCCTAGATAATGTTCCTTTACTTTCGTAAATATATATTCTCTCTTCTCTGTTTTTTTCCCCAACAGTTAAATGTCACCATATGTGCCAGTTCTCTAATGGAATATTCTTTCCTCTTCCCTCTTTGTCTCTATGTCAGCCCCATCTTCTGGCGGGAGAAGAAAGACAAAAGTGCATTGGCATCTCCAAGGAGGCAGCTGACCTGATGCATCTGGAATTGATTAGTTAGGGCTAGCATGGGAACTCATCCTGGAGGCAATGGCCAGTGCTGGGCAGGTGAAGAAAGGAAGGGATCCCTCCAAACAGGTGGAAATAAGGTGACGACGTCTTGATCATTTTTCAATAATTAAAAATGACTATTAGCCAAGAGTAGTGGCTTATGCCTGTGGTCCTGGCTACTTTGGAAGCTGGGGTGGGAGGATTTCGTGGGCCCAGGAGCTCTGAGCAACATATAGTCTAAAAAAATTAACATATCTTTTAAAAATGCTCTAGTGGTAGCTTTCTAGGAAACATGAAAATTTTAATGTAAGTATATTACTATTGTATAGATTGTATCGTATAGATTTTGCATCTATCTATCTATCTATCTATCTATCTATCTATCTATCTATCTAATCTCCACAGAATCTCCCATGGTAGTCCTTTGTAGGGAATTCGTATCATGTTAGTGTTCCAGATGCTAATCTTGGACCTTAGCCACTAACTGGAGTTGGGAGTCCATTCAAGGCCAAGTGTATCAGTCTTAATTGTGTCCTGTTCATTATCCCATTCTCCCTGACATGTCTCTGCAGCTGCTTCCTCACATGTGAGAGCCATCTGTTGATCCTCATTAACGTAGTTAGATTTCCCCCAAAGCAGAGCCTGTCAAAGGGTTTGGGTGCAAGGAGTTTATTTGAGAAGTGATGTCATGAAGCACAAAGAGAAAGTGCAAAAGTGAGGCAGGAGAGAGACGAACCAACTGAGGGTACATTAATGATCCGGTTCCGTTGCCAGCAATGAGGGCTCAGTTCTGCTGGGGACCCTCAGAGAGACTGTAGAGAACGAGCCTCAGGTTTGCCCATTGAGGACCACCAGCTGGAGTGTGTGTTCACTAACTCCTGTCCCTCTCTGGTGGAGTCACCCCAGAGGTGTCAACGCCTGGTTTCTGGCCTGTGGCCAGAGAATGCTCAAAGGGTACAGGCAGCTCCTGCCCTGACATAGAACTGCCTGCAGTGCCCCAGGGCTGGACCAGTGGATATGGAAAGTGCAGAGAGGAACCCTCAGCAGTGTTGAGGATAATGACACAGCTCAAAAGTCCCATGCATTTTTCTGAGCCTGTGGTTCTGCACAAGCATTTACGTGGTGGGTGCCTGGTGTTCTGGGAACTCATCATCCTTAGTGAGAAATGAGAAATCTACAGAGAGGACAACTCAAAATGGAAACAGTAACACCTACGGTAATTGTGCACCTAAGATGTGCAGGCCTGGTTTTTTGTACTGAGATAGAGATTTCATCCAGCATTTGTGCCTTTTTCTGAGGCTCTTCCTGTCTTTCCTGGAAATATACCCCCCCATCCACGTTGCTCAGAGGCATTGAAGCCCCAGCCTAGCTGCTCTTTACCTTTTAAAAATTGCCATAATTAGGTGTTCTTTCCTGGACTGGGGGGGAGCTTTGAAAAGATGGCACCTGGAAAGGGTGGTAAACGTCTTTTAAAAAAGACAATGTTAAGCCGGGTTTGGTGGCTCAGCCTGTAATCCCGCGCTTTGGGAGGCTGAGATGAGTGGACTGCCTGAGCCCGCGGGTCCGAGACCCACCTGGGCAACTTGGTGAGACCTCATCTCTATAATAAATAAAAAATTAGTCGGGTGTGGTAGCGCGTGCCTGTAGTTCCAGCTACTTGGAAGGTTGAGACGGCAGAGTGGGACTCCAACTCAGAAAACAAACAAAAAAAGAAAATGTTAGCAGTGGTTTTGGTGTTAATCATGCCAAGAAGAATTATTATTTTCTGTGAGTTAAAATGCTATAACCAAAGAGATAGACAAGTCTCACTGGGTACACTCATGTGTATTCATACACATATATCTGTGTACACACATCACAAGGCCAAACCATATTTAGACTCTGCATGTATACCCGCATATGTATATGTATCAAGATTATGTTTTAAAAAATATTTAATATTAATTTTAACCACTGACATGAATACCTGTATGAACTTTTTCTCTCTGTTCGGCAATGATTGAGTTTCTTGGAGATGCTGAGACATCACACACACACACACACACACACACAAAGTAACTGGTTATCCACACTTTCCATCCCTTTGACAGTTCACACATTGTATATTTCCTGCAGAGCTGCCACTTGTCTGAGACTGTCATGAGCAGGGGGTCAGTGTGTTTTTTGGTAACTGGCTCCAAGACACAGGGGAAGTAATGCATTTGCTCCTTGGGCATAACCACTCTGGCCTCTCTTGCTGTTATTTTCCAGGTTTACAGAAAGGCGTTGTCTAAAGGGCCTGAGGTTGGCATGCAGCACCCCCCCCCCCACACCTCTGAGTTTGGTGACATCACATGGGTAGCTTAAAATTGGGCACAGTGGGAGCATTTACATCCTAGAAATGGGCACACGCTACAAATCAGTATGGCAACCCTGTAAACCTCCCTTCTTAACCATTTACCAGAATACCCCTGTAGTGAGCCTTTTGCAACTCACAGAAAGCAAGCAAGTCCCTTTTGCTACGGCTGTTCTGAAGCCTGGAGTATCACCATCCGTGCTATGTAACTCCTGAGTGGCACCTGTACCTCAGGCGTGCTCAGGGGTGGTGCCCTGACTGGACAGTGTGTTGGCAGGCAGTGCTGGGATTCCTAACAGGCATGCCCTCCTAGGTGAGGCCTACCCCAAAGCGCACACACAGTCTTGAAGCAGCCATGTTAGCTTACTGGCAGCTGGTACACAGTGTGCAATCCTCATTTGCAGACTTCTTCCCTTCACTTCTAAAGAGGCTTTAAAAATCCAACATTAAAGTATACTGATCAAACTGGAAATAGACTGAAGGTCTCAAGGGCTTTTTAAGCAGTCCATCTATCTCTGTGGGGCAGACCCGGGCCTCCAAGCTGCAAAAACACCTCCTCTAAAGCTATGGAGGGCTAGGAACAGGGCTGTGGAAGTCATGCACACTGGGCGCCCTGCCTTCCGGCTCTTAAAAGGTTCAGTTAATTACCCTCTTAATTAAAGAGGGCACATAGCCTTATTTCATCCACAGGCTTAAGGGACAGAGAAAAATTGTGGCCTTTGCATTCTTGAGGAAAACAGGAAGAAAAACCAACAGAGATCACATTTCAATAGTCTTTTGAGTCCAAAGAATTCAAAGGAAAAAGAATCTTTCAGTACTCTCTCAGCATCTTAGATTCTTAAAGAGATCTACATTTTATAACTAGGGCCTTGTTTTGCAGGAACCTCTGGGGCTCCCTTAAAATGAACTGCATTCATTTCCTTGTAATAGCTAAACTCGTGTATTAATTAGTCATGGCAATGAAACAAACAAAAAATGATAATGTGTAGATAATTTAAAACAAATCAGCCAGAAATCTACCCTTAACCACTGCTTCCCACTCTGCAACCCTGATCAAAGATGGCTTTAAATATGGAGAAACTGGTAACTGAGTATGGTAATGACTCAAAATTAGACAACCAAAGAGAAAAGCAAGAAACTGACTAACTTACCCTCTAAATTGTTCTGCAGATACTATCCAGTGTACATGGCTGTTCCTTAGCGTAAAGTTCCACACCCACCTTTTTGCTATGGTTTAATTGTCCCTCAAGAGGCAACACACAGGGTACCACAAGCCAAGAGAAAAATGGGAGAGGGCATGAAAGACGGAGAGCTAGACTAAGAAGTTTTTGGGCAAACTACTTTTTTTATTGCTTCCAGAAAGATAGGACAGAAACAAATCTGCACTGAGTCAAAAGGTCAAGCTAAAATATTTGGCCCCAAATACTGTTTAGCGAGTTTGTGTTTCTTCCCCTGGGTGGTGGCGGGAGGGAGGGTGTCTACAGGATGATGATACAGATAGACACTGGTCCTAGAGTGGTCAAGTCCAGGTCAGAAGGTCACAGGGAGAGGAGTGCTGGTTGTGCGGCTTAACACCCCAGGCCATGATTCCCTTAACAGTAAGAAAGAGAAATGGGGAACCATCTACTGGAAATGGTCTCTAACAGGCAAGGAGAGCCTTACACCAAAAGCTTTTAAGCAAAAATGACACTTTCATCTTTGAAGTACTTAGAAAGAACAGTACTCTGGAAAACAATAATTCACAAGCTAGCTGCCAATTCAGATGACTTGATCACATGTAGCAGGAATAGGTTTTGTCTTTCCTGTGGTTTTAAGTCCCCACCCCACACAAGCACCTATTTTCTAGAAAAATATTGGCCACCATCACTACAACTTTATACAATTCCTAGAGGAGCAAAAGCTGGTTTTTAGCTAACCTCAGAAGCCCAGATGAGTATTTCTATAAAGGTCACCTATGCCAGGTCTTCTTTTCCCACGTGGAGATGACCCATTAACTACCAGTGTTCAAATGGGGAAAACTCTGAAGCCAGGAATCCTCCTGAGTCCAGTGTACTACCCAGCAAACCAGGGGAAATGTTTTTACTAATTATAAGATTGCCTCAGGTGGCTCTTTTTAAGTCTTTATTGGGCAGCTATTTACATTTTTAAATAGTTAATTACAATTTCGGGCAAGCTTTTTAAAAGAGTAATTTGACAAATACTACCAATATATATTATTTCCACTAAAAGAAACTGTTATATTTCTGATTATACACAGAGGGAGGTTTGTGCATGTTTTAGAAACCATTAAGCGTGTTTACTTTGGAAAATGCATGTGCACTACAAAGTGTTTTAAGGAAGGAAAGATGTGTTCCAATACTCCTTATAATAAAAAACATTCTGAGTGGGGCTAGGCAACTTCAAGGGAAGCAAACTCAAGAATGAAGAATACTGTAGTACAAAATTATGGCCAAAAATACTGTATTTTTAACCAGCAAGATCATTGGGGCATTATTATACAACATTAGGTGTTTTTTGCAAAACTAGTTCCCATCCCCAAACAATAGACAATACATGCATTTGAATGACATTTTAAGAACAGTAAATATGATTCTTTTAAATACTGCAAGTTAAAAATGTTTTCTGACAAAACTCCCTAAATACACAGTTTTAGTAAGGGTTTCCAACATGATGATGGGTGAGGAATCCAGCACGAAGCTGCATTTAGAGAGTTCTTTGAGGAAAAGAAATCCACCAAAAACATGTGTTTCAGTCAAAGTAACCTGAACAAAGTTACACAGTAATTTTCCATCTTTCTTCCCTAAACTTAAAAATATTCTACTGGAGAATACCTTCCTCCCCATTATTTTTTTCTGTCTACCAAAACCTTATATAAAAGTCAGAATTCCTTTATCCAAGTGAGATCCAATTTTACCCAATAGATGTTTTCATAACATGTAAATGGTCATTTACTATTGAACTGGAATCATATGGGGAAATGGAGGACACATGGTAGATAGGGAAGGTAAGGAAGAAATTAATATTTCAGCACCTACTATGTGCTAGGTGTGTATGCATACTTTGAACATATGAATCTAGAGGCGAGAGTATTATTGAAAGAGCGTGGTAGTTGGGAAGACAGCAGGAAATGGTTTGTTATTCTGTGAGAAAAACAAATAACAAGTTTAGACTCTGTTCTAAGTTATCTACTAAACAGCAGGTGTCTGGCTCCAAAAATCTCTAGCTAATCATATACAACTAAGTCATTTCTTTTCCTAATTTGATGGAACCAAAATGAAATCCCAAAGACACAGTTACCAGGACAGATCTGTTAATGCTACATATGCTTAAACGTACAATATTACTACTTTTAATTTTTTGTGTGTCTCTAACCAAAGATATAGTTTTGGAAGAAAATGTTAATGTATACCAAGCACACCTTATTTGTATCAATTGAGATGTTGTCAATGACCAATTAAGTGGTTTTCAACCCTTATTTAATTTTAAGAAGAGCAGCAATATACATTACAATATTTGGGTACACTTTATTTTTATATGGGTTAATATTCTGCTATATTTCATTTCATTCGTTCTTTTTGAGAAACTGAAAACAAAGGGAAATCGAAGGTATCGGAAGGTAATTTGAGGGTCAGTCATTTCCAACCAACATCTGAGTCTTGCAGTATATCTCTTTATGCAGCCCTTTCTTCCCATTTTTATTTTTTTTGCAAATAATAAAGTCATTTTGACCCAAATCCAGCACAAATAGCTTTTCACCAATTCCTAACTTAAGACAACTAAAATTTACAATCATGTGGCAGTATAAATTTTAAAATTACAGTTCGTACACTTTGACAATCAAGATAGTCTGAAGTACAAAAAAGTAAATTGCCCTTTACTAAATTACCTTTTTAAGATAGGCCTGCTAGTTAATCTATCAACCCCCTCCCCCCAAAAAAACAAAAACAAAAAAACAAAACAAGGTTCAGGAGTTCTTCAAATTCCTTTAGTAGATGTCAACTGCTAGTAAACAACATATGCAGGTTCCTAAGATTTTTTTTCCAGTCTATTCATGACATTCAACAGAGCTCTTTATATGGAAATGTTAAAAAACAAAACAAAAAACAAATCCAAAACAAAAACTTCTAGGGGATTTATTTACTTTTGAATGGGGGTGTTATTTCCCTTTGTTTCAGATGAGGCACAAACTTCTGAATTTAAGCTCTGTAAGGCATAGTAGAAACCTCCAATTTACAAATAAGGACTTCTCTGGGGGTTGGAACTGCCGTGTCACGCAAAAAGGGAAAAATCATCTGTAAACTGGTACACTGCAATGTGTTAAGTGAGTCATGAAATGGCTGCTTGCCTTGGTATGCTGAAGAAAGGTCTCTTGTGTTTTTGTTTTTGAATAAGACATGCCCAAGTCACCATAAAACTCGCCACAGGCCTCCATTACCTAAGCATCAACAATAGGAGTCCAGTGGTACACGCTTATAATGCTTGCAATCACAATATAATATAAAGCATGAGTAAACTTTGTTTTTATACAAAACTGAAAAGAAACCCTTCCCGCCCCTAGTCCCTTCAATAAAACCCCAAACAAAGAAACAAAAAAGAAAATCCTTTAGCTTTGATTGACTAGTGTGGATACAATTAGTTTCTATGCATCACTGCTGCTAGGGTGATCAATTTTTTCCTTTCTCAAGAGAAGGGATCTTGTCATGCACCCTAGGATGAACAGTGAAGCCACGAACCTCAATTCTGCATAGCAAATTCCATCCCAATTTCATAAAGACAAATAGAACAATCTTTCCCTGTTTTGCTCGGCTTCTTCGAGCTTTGAGATCAGGTTTAATTGACTACATCTACTATAGCTCTATTAAATAGAATGTCTTGATTCCCTAAAACTGTAACACTTATGATCTTGTGATGAGGTTTTCTCTATACACACTGTAGGCCTTCAAATGTTGTTATTTTTTTATTTATTTTATTTTTTTGCTGCACCAATTTAAGATCGCCCTTTCAGGCAAGCAGTGGTCTCTAGCTGTTAAAACATTTCCTTAGTGGATCACAATAGCTTCTAAAACTGCCTTTCTAGTAAAGGCCATCAGAGAGGTAATACTAAACTGTGCATTTGCCAAAATAAGAATATGAATTGTATAAAAGCTCATATTCCAATCCGAGATCAAATGGCAAAAGTTCTACAAAGTTGGTCTCCATGTTTGTATAAAAGCTCCGACTGATTTTATGTATTTTACTATGAAATTACCTTTGGGTCTTATAATCAGTATACCTCTACTCAGGAATGTGCAAATGATTTTATACAGCACGATGCTAGTACCGCTCTGTATGATAGTAAGGTTTTTTTTTTTCTCTTCTTTTCTAAATGGAAAAAAAAATATCCCTAGTCAGAAATAAACTGACAAATTTACATTCTCCTCTCTTAAAAAAGTAAATAAAATAACATTATTCAAAATGTGAATTAGCTATAAGACATACAATACAATTACATAGATACATATCAATACAGCACATTCAATCTGCCAAAAAATTAATGATTACAAAGCCAGAATGGATGCTGCAATATCAAGAGAGATGTATGTACAATGATTAGAGCATTTGGAATTGCACTACACCTATAGGCAGTCTGTTAATTAAATTACAGGTGCTTTCTGAGCAAGGAACAAAAAAGTAACCTGTGTTGTTTGAGGCTGGGAGAGTCAAGAATAAGAACGTTTCTTTACAGTTTAGTAACTTTGGTGCTCATCTAATAAGCCGTTAATTTTCTCCCTCCCCTTTGTTGTTCCAAAAGAATCATTTCTATAGAAGTTGAGACTAGTGCCAAATACCACTGTAGTCCAAACGAGACCAGCATCATGGCCTAATTCTAACTTCCCAGCAGCTTTAAACAATCATCATTTATTTTCTTAAATCACATTTCAACTCAAGCTGCTTGACAGAAGCTCATCAATATGTGTGGTATGTTTTTTGCATTTGTTGAAAAATTGCACATATAGAATTCCAAACATTTCTCCTAGTAGGTTCAGTTACATAAATACATGTTCGACAGAACACTGAGAGGTGACTTTCGAGTTAAGTCCACAAGTTCAACCTGACCAGTCACCAGTTCAATAAGATCCTGAAGGTGGTAAACTAGCAGTCACTTCAGATTTTGCAAATTAAAGGGTCAGAATAATATTCTCAACCAATGTTCCTGGCAGCCTTACTTAAAGAACATAAAGAGAGACTAAGACTGGCTTCAAATAAAGACATCAGCAGATTTCATGTTAAATCACACAGGTTACTTTTCTACATTGCCGATTTGGACACCCCACATGGAACAAGAACACTAAACAATGTGATCGTAAGGGCAAAGAAAAGAATGGACTGTGAAATCAAATTTACAGTTACCAATTGTTTGGCAATTGGCATTTCTAGTTCATTCTCAGCCAGTCATTTTAGGCTTCACAGTCTTACTCTCTTACATTTTAAGATACTGGCTTTTGTTTTTTAAGTTCTTAGTCATTTTATTTTTACAAAAAGCCAGCTTTGGCAACACATACCCATAACAAAAGTCATTTTAAAAGTGTGGCCCAAACACTAAGGGAAAAAAAAAAAGGAAGAAAAATTTGAACCTAAAAAAAAAAAAAAAAATTAAGAACAACCTATGAAAAGGTTCTGGGTAGCAGCCATTGGGATAATGTAGTGTCTGTTGGCATTGTTTTTTTTTTTTTTTGGCATCTGCAATTCAAAGAGAGGATGATAAAGGGGGGGGAGAAAAGCAAAGAAGGGAGGAAAGACAATGGCACATGGCATTTCAAAAGAAAAGACTCCTGTGTGTCTGTGCCTCTGTCTTGCTGACTTGTGCACATTTCTCCAAGCAATCAAGCTATGGCTGAAGGTAAACATCTAAAAGAAATGACACTTAATCGTCAGATGAGCATCCACTGTCCCAGTCCAAAGTGATACAAGACAATATATCTATTAAAAAAGAAACTCTATGTGTGGATCCAGAGCAATACAGTTAAACCACAGGATTAATACACATAATCCTTCAGCAAAGACTACAAACGGTTAAATTAAGCTGATGTATGATGGCTTAAATCGAATGATGTGTCCTGACTGTATCATTCGAGAGAAAAACTTGACCAAGAATGGAACTAGGACAAAGGCCATTGTAACCTGGGAAAAATCAGGAGGGAGGTATGGATTAGGAAAAAGGAAAATCAGCTTTGTTTTGCTCAATAGGAGAGAGAGAGAGAGAGAGAGAGAGAGAGAGAGAGACTGATCTTTGTGAGTGCATGACTGAAAATTTAAAATACGTTGAGTCACAAGGTTTTGCCTAAAAAAAGAGAGGAAATGTGCTGGGACTGTACTTCAGCATCCTCTGTTTTTCCTCTGAATAGTTTAAATAAAATCATAATATTTACTACAAACTCTGTGGACACACTCACAGAGTCCAGGACGGCAATAAATTAGTATTATGCAAATTGTTTTCCACAGAAATACAGTCCCTCTTGTGTATCTTCAATAGCCCACCAGGGAAGGGAAGGGCGGGTGTCTAGGAGGCACAATTAGACCAGATTGTACTCCTTCAGATTCAACTGGAGTATGGTGTCCTTGACAGCAGCAAAGACAAAGCGGATATTCTCGGTGTCTGTGGCGCACGTGAAGTGGGAGTAGATAATTTTGTCACTATCTGGGTTCAGGTCCACGAACATCTTCAAAATGAATTCTCGGGCTGCCTGGGCATCTCTCTGGGGTCCTGTTGGCCAAAAGACAAGAGGCGTAGTTTGTTAGCTGATCCGCTAATGCATTCATTCATCATAAATTCAATAAATATTTATTGTGTCATTGCTTATGAAGCCTGTATCTGCATTGCAGAATTGATCTGTTATAACTATTTTCCCTACTAAGACCAGTTGCCCTTCCACCCAGTCACCCATCCACCCATCCAGAAAAAAAAGGTGGACAGGTGAAAACAGACAGATGACTTGAAGGCCAAGGCTAAGTTTATTTCTCAGCTTGGAATTCACTCTAATCCCAGGCGTGATAGAGAGCTACCACAGACTATTCAGCAGAGGAGTGGTAGCTTTACTTCTGTTCAGCTGAGTTAATTATGCTGGTTTCAGCAATATAGTGAGTGTGCATACAGACATAGCTGCCTCAGGCTCTCTTGTAACAAAACAGTCCCTCCAAAGACTTGACATTATGGATCATTTACATTCCCCAGACTGAACTCTCTCTTGGAATAAAACCTCTGTTCCTTAAGGCCAAATCCATCTACAGTGATCCTCTGCAGTCTCATATCTACAGACTTCTGGTGTTTCCGAGCATGTTACATTTACGTAGTATTGTTTGTATGTGACGATAAAATAATTGGTTTATATTTTCTGACATTGATTGAGGGGTCTTTTATGTACCAAAAATTGTCCTAGGTGTTTTGAAAATGGACTGTGATGGCTTTATTGGCATAAACTAATAACTTATTTAATACTTTTGCAATGAATTCTTAGATATGTCACTAAAGCACAAGCCATATTTTTCACCAAAGAAAAAATAGAGAAAGTGAACCTCATCAAAATTAGAAACTTTTGTACATCTAAGGACATTGTTAAGAATGTGAAAAGACAACCTATAGAATGAGAGATAATGTTTGCAATCATATATCTGATAAAGAGCTCTTATAAGTCAACAACAAAAAGACAACCCGATTTAAAAATGGGCCAAGGATGTGAAGAGACACTGCTCTAAAGATATACAGATGGCCAATAAGCACATGTAAGTAGTCAACACTGCTAACAATTCAGGAAAATGGGCAAATCAAAACCACAATGAAATAGATACCATGTCACATCTACTAGACTAGCTATAAAAAAGTGGAAAATAACTAGGGTTGGGGAGGATGTGGAGAAACTGGAAACTGGAACCCTTGTATACTATTAGTGGGAATATACAATGGTACCACTGCTGTGGGAAACTGGTGGTTCCTCAAAAAGCTCAACAGAAAATTACCATATGACATAGCAATTCTACTCCAAGGCATATATTCAAAGGAACTGAGACCAAGGGCTTTACCAGTTGTTGCACCAGTTTTTACAGCAGCATTATTCGCAATAGCCCAAAGGTAGAAACAACCTAAGTGACCACCAACAGATGGATGGACACCAAAATGTGGTATATATCTTCAATAGAATAGTTTTCAACCATAACAAAGAATGAAGTTCTTAAAGATGCTGTAGTATGCATGAACCTTGACAACATTATACTAAGTAAAATAAGTTCAACATAACAGAACAAATATTGTATGATTCCATATATATGAGGTACCTACAACAGACAAATTCATAGAGACAGAAAGTAGATTAGAAGTTGCCCGGGAATGGGAGGAGGAAGAAAATGGGGTGGTGGTGTTTAACTGGGGTGGTAAAAATCATTTTGGAAATACTGGTGACAGCTGCACAATATTGTGCATGTAATTAATGCCACAGAATCGCACAATTAAAATGGTTAAAATGGCAAATTTTATGTTTTATCATAATTCTAAAAAATTAATAATGCAAATACGTCAAAAACCACTGAATTGTATACTTTAAATGCGTGAATGATATGGTATGTGAACCATATCTCAATAAAAATGTTCTTAAAACTTACTGAAATAAATCCTGAAAAACGTTAATTGAAAATGTATTATTGTAGCCTGTAATCCCAGCACTTTGGGAGGCTGAGGCGAATGGACTGCCTGAGCCCGTGCGTTCGAGACCCGCCGGGGCAACTTGGCGAGAGCTCGTCTCTGCAATAAATCAAAAATTAGCCAGGCGTGGTAGCATGTGCCTGTAGTTCCGGCTCCTTGGAAGGCTGAGGCGGAAGGATCACCGGAGCCCAGCAGGGCGAGGCTGCAGTGGCTAGAAGAGTGCCACTGCACTCCAGTCTGGGCGACAGAGTGAGACTCTGACTCAAAATATATATATATTATTGTAAATTAGTAACAACCTGAAAATACCATCACCTTTCAAGTATTGAGCACCTATCTTATATTTGTCTATGTGTCATTATATATCTGCATTTCTTCTCATTTTTTCAAGTTAGTTCTACAAGCAAGAAGGAAGTCATACTGCAATTTCTTCCTCCTCTACTTCCTTCCTTTGAGCAAGACCCTCCCAAGATTCACCACTTAGGTTTTTTCCTACCGATATTCTTATCTACTGGCTGGGATAAATAAATCTTTGAGAACTCTACTCAGGGCCTGACCACAATTTCTGATGAACTGCATCCTGAGTTTCAGACACCAATTCTTTTCAAACTAACCCTTTTATAAATTGAGGATTACTCCTATGAGCTTATCTCTAACAAAGCCAGAAATTGGGAGGAAAGATTTATGAAAACAAATGGATTATCCTTAACTGTACAATTAAAAAAAAAAGTAATGCTTGAATTTTTGACTTAGGTGTACAGAATTGAAATTTTTTGTAAATGACTAAGAAGGCTAGCATCGTATTTACATAAAAAGTACAACTTAAAATAATATGTTTTAATATGTAAAAACATATACAAGCAAGTCTATATATTATACATACACACGCACACACATATATAATTATTTAATGTTTCATCTTTTCAATGTACTGTTATTAATTCACTAATTCCAGGGCAGTCACAGAAATACTTTAAACCAGAAACCAATAGATTGTTAGAGCTGGAGAAGCTTCTCATTTTCATAAAAGAACATTGTATTTCTGGCTTGTAAATGAACTTTTATATTATTTTGTACTTACCCTATTTGGGAAAGAAGGGACTATACCTTTTTTCTTTACCCTAAAGAATATCAGAACTAGATCCAAGTTCCCTGAAGTGTACTTGAAGGGTGTTATGTTTTTAAGCATAAATTATGTTATTTGAATAAACATAAACTAAAGAAATCATTATAGCCATCATAGCAGAAGCAGAATTCCACAGTCTCTATGTACAATTTTGCAATTCAAGTCCATGAGGAAATGGTAATTTCCCTTCCTGAAGAGAAATACAGAAATGGCATTCATTATGATTAAGACCTTGTAAGTACAGAAATGTGAAGTGTGAAATTTATAATACTATAAACATGTTTATTCCAAAAATTTCATTGCAGAGTGGGCCTACATTTTTTTCAGTCTGTTCATCTTACAAGGGCTTGGAGTGTCAGGAAATAACAGCTGTGCTGGCTTTGTGAATAACAAAATCAGAGCCTTTTTTCTTTATCCATGGCCAAGTTTCCTATGTGCATTATGTGTATACTGGAGGAAGGACACAGTAAAAAACAAAACCAAACCAAAAAACCTTCAGCTTTCAAAGCATTCACAGTGTGCACATTAGAAGGAAAATGCTCTGAGTGATAGGAAACCTGGGAAAGTTATTGGAGAAAGAAGACATGTAAAGAGATTAGGAAAATGTTGCAGGGAGAATAAAACAGCACTGAAAACACCCACTTCAGAAATAAGTGTTTTACTGAAGAAAAATCGACGATTGTGCCTATGTGGCTGAGTCTGCTGCAACTGAGAAACTTGAGTCAAAGTCTTTGAGAGGGCCAGCCCTGTGGGCACTGTGCTCCCTCAGTCCTGTGGGGTGACCCACAAGGCAGAGTGAGGTGTGCAGTGCTGTGTACGGTGCCGGCATCTACCATTTGCTGATTCAGAATCTCTCCTGCATATGTGAGGCAGACAAGTGTGTTTAGGTCTCAGCCACATGCCTCATGCCCATCTCACTCAGATAGATCTTGTGTGTAAAGAATGAGACTATTGTGGGAAAACAAGTTATCTATACATACAGTCATTTCTTTCCATAGTTTCCTCAGGAACACTGAGGAATACAGTCTCAGGCACTTATGACTTGTTTCCAGGCTAGTGGCAAATTAAAAGGAATGAAAGAGAAAACACTGTTTATGCCAAAAAAGTATTTGTTTTTAAAAGCACATAGCAATGCAAAAAAGAAAATGTACTTGGAGAGAAGATGTGAACACGCTAACAAAAAAAGGGTACTATTTCTTATATCTGATAATATCTCCAAACATTTATATTTTCAATTCACCAATGCGGCATCATCTTGTACGTATCTGAGAAAGGAACTTCATCTAATTAAATATTTCCCTTCCATGAGCCAGCAAAGCACCAAACGCATGTAGGATAACAAGATGATTAAAACTCCATCCCTGGTGTGTTTGTATCTTCACAGAAAGCTATGAAGCAAAACTGAATGTAAATTTTTTAACTAGTTACCTCTCTGAGGAAGCTTTTATAAGTACAAAAATACTGTTGAATTGGTATCTATCCTGGATATCATGTGTAGAAGTGTAATTCTTAAAACTGTCTATTCTCTTGTTGTTAATATACCTCTGTAACAGGTACTGAGCCACGTTTGACTCCATTCAATTCTTTTTCCCTCAGGAAAAAACTGAGTAGTTACATAAATTTGTCTAAGGTAGCACAGCCAGTGAGTGGCAGAGTTGGAACTTTGAGACATTCAAAACTTGTGCTACTATCTAGACCAAGGCTTGGCAAACTTCCTCCGTAAAGCGTCAGAGAGTAAATATTTAGGTTTTGCAAACTATTTTATCTCTGTTACAACTACCCAATTCTGCTATTCTAGCATGAAGCTAGTCATTGACAGTGCATAAATAAATAGGTGGGGCTATAGCTCAATAAAACTTTATGTATAAAAACAAGCAGTAGGCCACAGTTTGCTCCCCCAATCTAGACTCAAGTTTGTATGAGGATGGGGAGATATATGTTTATCCTGCCACATAAGCTCTTATAGAGCAGTAGTTGTGGTTCTTTTCATCTGTTTTACAGTGGCAGCATTTTGTTACCAATCAATCAATAAGTGTTTCTCAGAATGGGTTGAGTGTCTAGTTATTCAGGATTTCACAGTCTAGTTGAGGAGGGCAAGATCTGTTTCTAAGAACAAAGTAAATAATGCAAAGCCATATGAATACTGAAGTGGGTGCTACAAATTCGAAGTGCTGCACAAAGAACTTCAAGGATAGTTACCGTCACCAAGAATTGTAGGACTTCATTGGATCATGAAGTTCCAAAAAAAGTAAATATTTCCTGAATATTCATATGAGTAAGGTATCAGATTAAATACACACACGCTACCTATTATAGAGTGTATAGAACAATCCTATGAGTTTGGCCCTACGGCCCAGAAAAATCAAGTGACTTGATGATGGCTTTACAAATCAAGTGACTTGATGATGGGGAGATCGACTTCAGAGATTGGCCCTTGACTACAAAACTGCGTTCTCTCCCCAGAGAGAGGCAGAGGTGAACTGTAACCAAACAAAAGGGAAAGAAAGAGGGAAGTATAATAGTTGATATACAATTGGTCAAAATTACCAGATTGTTCCTTTCTCTGATCTGATTACTTCAAAACAGATGAGAAGTTGTTTTCTTTTTCTACGACTTTCAGAATTACTAAGGAATGAAATGCTTTGTGTCATTAAAAGGCAGGACAAACAATACTCTGTATTTTGTTAATCACAACACGCAGGCTTCGCAGGGCAACCACAGCAATAGTGCATGGTCGTGTGTTCAATCTTGCGTTGGTGTCTGGAGGCAAAACCTGTCCCCAGCTACTGGGATGTGTGATGAGTGCTGACTTACCATCATATTCTGGGAAGTAGTCAACTAGATGGGAATACATAATCTTCTCCTCTAGAAGGTCTTTCTTGTTTAAGAACAGAATAACCGAGGAGTTCTGGAACCAGGGATATGTGATAATTGTTCTAAACAGTGCTTTGCTTTCCTCCATCCGGTTCTGGAAAAAAGACATCAGAAAAACAAGGAGTGAATTACGTGATTACTCAACAGGTGACTTGTGTTTAATTCATAAATCCAACCCATCTTTTGTATGCATCCAGTTTTTGTAGCCTTGGCTTGGGTTTGTCAGGATTTATATGCAAATGATTCATGCCACATATTGGTTGTTTTCATTATGCAAACTTCTCAGGCTGACAAGCAGAAAAGAAGAAGAAGAAGAAATATCTGCTGAAATAACTTATAGTTGAGAGGGCAAATAATCAAAAGCCTTGAGAATCATGTTGTGTCTGGCACAGTCATAAATCTCCACCAAAAATTATTCATTCATGACCAAATACTTAAGATCTGAACTAAGAAATGAAATATCAGGCTCCATTTTGCATTTCCAAAACTATATTTATTTAGGTCCTCACAATTAACTCTATTTTAAGCAATCAAAACAGTTACTAAATTCTTTGCCCAAGTCATATCTGTATTTGTAGAATTATAACTACTTACTACATATATAGATTCCTTTATAAATGCATGGAAAAAAGTTTTTAAGACCACATACTTCCTGGTCATGAGTACATACTTTCTATGTTTCACTATAATATTCACATAAAATTGTGTAGATACACATAGTAATTACCTGGGAATAAAAAAATGTAGTATTTCTCACTTTCAGCATTTGTGAATAGCGTTCTCATCACCTGAAGCTATACTTTCAAGTCTACCTTGGTTAACAGAAACCGTACTGAATTCTCAAGGAAATCTGTTAGCTTGCTACCAGAAATGAAGATGCTATTCGAGGCTATTCCTGAGTCAAATCATTCCTCTTAAAAAAGTATGTATTGGTCTTTTGAGATGGCCTATAGCTTTTTCCGTGTCCCCTACCAGTTCTTTCTCCAAAGACACACCTCTCTAAATCATTCCAAACACCCTTGGGCCACAGATAAAGGCAGCAGACCTGGGGAATTCTCCTTTCCCTGAGGACTCAAAAGTCACGGCATATCAACACACTTTGTCCTGGACACACTCTCCAACCTCCTTAACTTAGTTCTATGTGTTACAGTTGAGTTTGGAGTTTGTTACAGCTGAGTTTGCCTGGGAACACTGCTAAGGGGAAGCGTGATGGTTGAGGCCAGATCATCCTGTTTCCCTGCCATGCGGTCTGGGCTCTGATTCAGGCCCAAGTCACTTGGGCCTTCTCTCCCCTTGCTTCTCATAATCGCTTTAGCCAAGCACCTCAACTGGGTCTATTAACTCCAGGGCTTTTGCTGGGAACCGGAATAGAGAACCTTACTTTCGTGAAGAGCATGGGAGGGGAATTATGTAGCCTCAAGAGCTTCTAGCAGCCATCTTGAAACAGTAAAAAAGAAACCAAGTCCTGTTTACCTGGCTCTAGCCATAGCTGAACTTAGTCATCATGCCTCTGAATTTTTTAGTAACATCAGTCAATAGTACCTTTTATTTTTAAAGTTAGTTTGAACTCTGTTTTTGGTTTTTTTTTTTTTGAGTTGGAGTCTCACTCTGTCGCCCAGGCTGAAGTGCGGTGGCATGCTCACGGCCACCCTAGCATAGACCTACTGAGCTCAGGTGATCTTTCCACCTCAGCCTTCCAAGTAGCTGGAACTACAGGCGAGTGCAACCACAACTGGCTAACTTTTTGATTTACTATAGAGATGAGGTCTCGCCAAGTTGCCCAGGCTGTTCTTGAACCCATGGACTCCGGCAATCCCCTCACCTCAGCCTCCCAAAGTGCTGGGATTACAGGCTTGAGCCACCGCGCCCAGCTCTGTTTTTTTTTTTTTTAAGTTACATAAAATACTTCTAGTTGAAATACCTGGATATATGCTCCCTCCAAACTTAAAAGAAAGTTAATGATATCTGAGTGATGACCACCATTAAGATTGGGGTTTCAAGCTGTGAACACATTTTGCAAAGATTTTGCCATCCTCCTGTAGAAGGCTCCCTGAGTTTCACAGTGCAGAGTTACAATGGTCACGTATGCACCTTTACATAGCCCTTGACTGCTGTTCTTCAAACCTCTAGGAAACTCAGCTCGCTAAGAACAATTGTCTAGAACCTAAATATGGTCTTGCTCTTTTCTTCTGTAAAGTGTGCCAGTTCAAATAAAGTTGAAAAGGCATACTTTTCCAAAGCAGATCTTGACCAAATCAGGTACAGCCCATTGTCCCCTATCCCTTCACCCTGTTAATTTTGTGCCTACAATGGCTTAGATAATTAATACTGATGAAACATGGGCTGATATGAGAGCACTTCATGGCTCACGGGATAGTTTATGTCACTGCATACATCTCTTTTATATAAATGACACACACAGGCCTTAAAAATCTCTTTACTATCTAAATGCCTTTTATTGGTTATCATAGATGGTGGTAGATTTTAAGCCCTGGAAATAATATTCACTGAGAAAGGATACCTAGCAGCTTGAGATTTTATAGGCTGAGCATTTAAAGATTGAAGAAAAACAAAGACTCTAATAAGAACTTGAATAATTTTTAACACATTTTAAAGAAGGTCAAATAGATAGTGACAGCCCTGATTAGAGAGTTAACATTTCCCCGCTTGTTTGTAGCTAGAAAAATTTTATTTTTATTTATTATTTTTTAATCAATATTTTTTATTATGATATTGTGGGGTACAGTTAAGGGTTAGGTATACAGATATGCTTCGTTCATACACCCTTGTTGATAAGAGGTGTCTCCCCATAGAAAAATTTTAGAAAGTCATACTGAGTTGTACTGTGGTCTTGGAAGAAGCACTATCTAAAGAGGGGGTACGCACACCTTGGCATCAACTGGTGAGTCTCCATTAGAAGACTTCTTTAGTCTTATATTTCGTATCATATTTAGTATTCTCCAGTAGGGGCGTGATGAGCTCCCAGGGGAAGGGGTCCTCATTGGGTTTTTGGCTGGAATCCTTCAAAGGGAAGTGGCTGGAGCTTGGGCAGAGACAGGGAAAGTGGGCCTGACTTTGCATTGTTACAGAGGGTGTGTCAGGTTTCCCTAATTACCAGATTCAAGGCTGGACTGGAGCCCCTAGTCTCCAGATTGAATCTGCTAGGAAGGGGCCTTGTACCAGCCCGCAGGACAGAGGCTAGGAGCATGACTGAGGCCCTCACTCTGTTCCAGAGACTACTGGCCTAAGAAGTTGTCCCTCTGTGCCGCTGCACTCAGGGCCAGTCTAGAAGCAGGTCCCCTGAAGCTTTATCCATGTATGTTTTGGGGCGGGCTCTAGAATATTTCCCCATTCTCCGTGTGACTGGTGGACTGGAGCTTGAGTTCCTAGCTCAGGGGAAAGCTAGAGAGCAAAAGTGGGCGGCTGACTAGAAGATGAGCACCACTGGGACTTCCACCGACCTACCACACTAAATCCTTGAGGGGGCCCCAGGAATCTGTGTCTTAACCAGCCCACCTAGTGATTTTGATGTACCTCAACTTTGTGAAGCACTACTGAAGATGAGCTTCTCCTACGTTCATCTCATCACCAATCATGTGAGGGTCTTGTTAAAACAAGGCTTCTGCTTCAGCACAGGGCAGAGCTTGAGGGTTTGCACTTCTAATAAGATCCGAGTCATAGGCCACACTTTGAGTTAGAAGGTACAGAAAGCTTGCCCAGCAAGGGACCACCAAGAAGAGGGCAACACTCCATCCCACTGTCGTGATAAGTGCACATTGACACATATAGCTGAGTGTCTGATTCTTGCACTAAATATCTAACTGTGCAGGCTTCATTCTTTTTGCTTTTCTAATTAAGGTGAGTTAACATTCTTACTTTATGCTGTATGATTTGTTTTTTACTCCATAGTGAAAATTCCTTATGCCTTCTTCTTCCCTCATGGGAGAATAGGTCCAAACCAACATGCTCTGTATCAAAGCCCTTGACTAAATTCTAAATGGACTAAATGAGATTTTCACGATGACTCACAAGGTAGGGGGACGTGCAGCACGTGAGCCATAATCCACTTTGCTCAGTAAAAACTGAAATCTAAGAGGGAACAGCATGTCTCAGGGGACTTTGCAGCACTTGCTTTTCAGTAATTTGCCAGGGCATGAGGTTTCAAGGAGGATCAATATACAAGCCATAGGTGTGACCCACGATAAAAAACAAGGAGGTTTTGTTTATTCCTAAAGAGGCTTAAAAGTAGTCAGGAGTGATGCTAATCATACCCTTTCTTTCTTGGGATTTTAACCAGTTGGGAAATGTACAAAGAGGATACTAGTAAAGGTTTTATTATTCCAAACACAGGGCTCCTTGTTGACCGGCTGGACTTGGTCTATGCATGAGGCCCAAGGAGCTTCCAATTCTTAGTCATCCCTGTCTGCCCAACTTCGCTCTCGAACTGGAAGCAATCATCTCTCCCAATGAAGAATAGCCCTAATGCAGCTGAAAAAGCTGGAAAAGAAAGAGCAGAGAGGGCAAGACCAAAGAGGCCACAGAGAGAGAAACCACAGTGGCGTGGTTGCTCTCTGCACAGTCACCTGTCTCAGATACATATGGCCAGGAAAATGTCACCGACTCACCCAGACCACACTGACAGGCAAGTCATTCCTCCCCTGGGTTAGAACCAGTGAAGGGGTAGAGCACTAAACTGGGAAGCATTCACTCTAATCCCTGGCCCTGGAGAGGGACTGGTGTTGTGGTAGAGGGCTGGGAGAGGAGGAAGACAGGGTTGCTGCTCCCTGCCTTTGAGCAAGATGGTGTTACCCATGAGTGTCCTCCCTCAAACAGTCATTGGAGAAAGCCCTGTTCAAGCCACTGGCGAGGGGTTTTATGCCTTTAATCTTGAACATCCCAAATCAGTTCTCAAGAGCTCCAATCTCCAGAAAAGACTGCCTTTTAAAGCATTCTGCTAACACATGACTGACTACCTGCCTACAGGGTGAAGCCCCACGTTCCAGCCTGGCATTCACAGTTTAGCACCATCTTCCATCTGAGCCCCTACCTAAATGCTCTCTTCTCTGGACACACTCCATGTCACCACTGCCACAC